AAATTTACCTTATGTTTATTTGACAGTGTTCATCAGTTGCCCACCATAAAATGGTGGGAAGTGGTACTTTTAGCATTCTGAAAACATAATCAGAAAGGAGAAGCTGCAAAATGGGCTCTCCAAATAGGTTTCTAACTCCAGCTAAACTTTCAATCCTTTCATCTGATGTACATACACATCAATTGCTAATCAGAATGGGAATCAGCATAGAGCTGGAAGGGACCTTGGAGGTCTTCTAGTCCAGCCCCCCGCTCAAGCAGGAGACCCTATACCATAGGGGTGTCTAACTGGTGGCCCATGGGCCGGATGCGTCACATGCAGGCCACGCCCACCCCAGCTCCACAAAGGCAAAAACATGATATGTCATATGACATCAACATGACACGGCGAGTTTGACACCCGTGCTATACAATTTCAGACAAGTGGTTTCAAGTTTATTTTTAAAAGCCTCCAGTTCTGGTTACTTTTGAAGCACAACTCTGATCCAAGCCATTTCTGGCTTCCTCCTTCCCAGCCTAGAGCCTCAGTAGGCTAAGTGACTGTCTCTCCTTCCACTCCCCCTCAGCTGGCTATTCCCCCCTCCACCTCTGCCCTTTTGGCCACCCTGCACTCTACCTTGTAGGAAGTAAGTAGCCCCAGAACTCCAGGTTTCTTAGTCTACTGTGGCTCAGGCTACATTGGCCAGCAACGGGAGCAAGAAGACAGCAAACGTCAGGGCAGCAGGGGCCACAGAATGCAGAAGGCCAAAAATGACATAGATGGGGGTGGAGATACATCAGTGAGGGGAATTGAAGCACCCCTGTGGTTGTGAGTGAGGGCAGATTATAAAATACCTGAATTTTTATCTTGTAACTAGGGATACTGCAATGGCTATAACTTTGGGCATAGGTTGTTAAAAGAAAACATAACATAATTCAGTAGAATTCTTTGTCTGTGGAGATTCTCAGTCATCCAGGTCATGGTTGACCCAAAGATGCTTTTTCAAAAGGCAACTGGACTTTCTATTTTTATTTTTATTTTTTTGGAAGAGGTTTCGCTTCTCATCTAAGAAGCTTCTTCAGTTCAGAATATCTTCAAGGAAAAACAAAGTCCAGTTGCCTTTTGAAAAAGCACCTTTGGGATGTCTGTACCTTTCTACTCCTGCAGACTATATTTCCTCTTAATAAATCTGTATACTGTTTCCTATATTGCCTTTAGTTTTTAAAATTTAACTCTGTTTTGACCATGTATATATAACTTAGCACCCCCACTTCCCTTGCCAAACACAAGCACTTTGGCCTTTGATACATTAATTTTCAGACTCATACTCCCTAGTTCTATCGTACAATCTATATAATATTTGCTAAAAATAATTTTCGCTGAAAATAATTTGGATTCTCTTCCAACAACATAGCTTCAGCTGCATGTGGAAGTACACATACATTCGAGTCTCCATCCAACACTTCTCTTATGCCATGGCAAGCATTCCTTATACATCTACCCACAGATACGTTAAAGAATGAAGGAGGATATCACGCACCCTTGTTTTACTTCCTGCTCAGGGTTGGACTATTTTATAAACCTTTAATTTTTCATCGTGTATATTTTCATATCTTCAAATACCTTCATTAGTTACTTTCAGCAACTAATTTTCAACTTCAATTCAATTTCAAATAATTCAAGCTTTCAGCAATTTTCAACTCATTCGCAAACTGCATTTTATAATTTAAGTCGATTTATTCCAAAATTGCTTTTCCAAAAAGCAATTGGACTTTCTTGTTTTTTTCGAACTGAAGAAGCTTTTTGGATGAGAAGCAAAATGTTTTCAAGGAAAAAAACCAAGAAAGTCTAGTTGCCTTTTGAAAAAGGACCTTGGGACAACCATGACCTGGATAATTGAGAACCTCCATAGACAAGTCTAGTTATCATATATTTCTTCAACCAACAAATAATCTTACTTTCTGTTGAGAAATCACTTTTGATGGGGACTATGAAACCAACCATGTTGCCACAATGAAATAAGGTGGATAATATAGCAGAAAAAAATTAGGAAGAATTGCCTTTTTGGTGGGCTTGGGGATAGAACGTGATGCTGCTTATCCCTCCCTTGAGAAATGGATGGCAGCCTGTGCTCAGGCTGGGGCAACCTGATTAGGTCTGTCTGCTCTAAGGATGTACATGCAGAGTACCTCAGAGTACATGCAGGATTCAGGAAAAAAAAATCAAAAATAAAATAATGTTACTAAGGCTGAGTTTTGCAGCATAATCGCTTTCCATTTAATTGATTCTTCATAAAAGAATCAGTAAAATAGAAAGATAGGAGCGGAACAAAGGAAACATGGCTTTCTGAGTAAACCACAATTGGGTGGTTTCACAGAAGACAAAACCAATGAAACCATGGTTCTGGGCAGTGTCGTCTACAGGTGTCTAACTCATGGCAGAGTGGCAAAGCAGAGAAAGGCCCATTTCCTTCAGAGACAATTGTTCTGGTGCTTAAGAAATGGTGGTGAGTTTGGAAGCTGAAATTGCCATCAGGGTTCTAAGCCTTTGTTTATATGGTTTAATTCCAGATGCCTTAATTCTCAGATCCTCCCCAGACTTTCTGAAAGGAAGGTGGTGAATGCCATTCATTTCTTCTCCTGGCAAAATGGTAGCACCAAGCAGGAAGGCATAGGTATTACATGAAGGCTCAGACCAGGGAGCTTATGGGGAGGTTCAATTTCCCATCTTCAGAACTCACAGGGTAACCTGGTTTTTAACCTTCTTACCTCACAGGTAAGGTGAGGTTGTTGTGGGGGTAAAGTGGGAGCTGGGAAGAGCCACAGGCAACACGATCAGCTCCATGGAGGGATGGCTAGAATGCTAACAGAATAGAATAATTTTGTCACTTTGAATGTACACTAATCGGCATACATTAAAGTGAAATTTCATTGCATACAGCTCTCAAAGGGTCACCACCTCCAATATACACTACATAATGTAACAGAATAAATAAATAAATGGTGCAACCTAGCAACATACAGGTAAAAATTGTGTTGTGTACATATTTTTCTGTTTGTGCTGAGTACCACCATCATGGTTAAGCCGTAAAACCTTCCCCTGTTTCAAGTTGCGAAAGCTGTGGTTTTCCCAGGAAGCAGTTCAGAGATTTAGCTCCTGTGGGGAGGGCAATTTCCTTGTAATGTGGAAACATCTGAGGCCTTGACTCTTGCTTCAGGCGGATAGGCACAGTGATTGAATGAATACTGCCCACTTAAGTTGCTGCACTCCAAGAGCCCTGTGGGCCTTTCGGTAGCCTTGGCGGGTGGGAAGAGTTTCATTGGCACCACTAATGTGCCACTGTTCAGCTAGAAAGCTAGCATGGATGGAAAAGGAGCCACACTGTCCCTTCCTGCCGGCTTATAGTCTGAATGTCAAGACACAGGAGGAAAGATGGTCCCCTATAAAAAACATAATGTGTTAATCGTTTATATGTTTCAAGTCTCTTGGGTTTTTCCTTTTTTATGTGTAGGTGTTCAGATGCCCACTGTGTTGCTTGTTGCTCTTCTAAAAATAAACGTTTGCCTTTCTTTCTCTTCTTTTTCCTGGTATAACTGAAGTCCTTCCTTACTGCTTGTGTGTAGAGTTTTTTCACCTGTCATTTTCTGCCTTCATAAATGTGTCAACATTATTTTGGAAGAAAGCCTTCTCCAGGACTCGGTTGCAACTGTCCTGATAGGTAGGCTGGCATTGTTACCTCTCATCTTTTATGCAGAGATGCTGCGAGGCTGGTAGACAGTGGTTCAGGCTTGCTGGAATTAATAATTATAATAATGTATTACGTTTACTAACAAAGGAGAATATTTGTAGCTCAGAGTTGAAATGAGTCCTTGGTGTTCTCTGAGCTTGCTTGTTTTCTTGCAGACATTTCATTACCAAATCTGGGTAACATCATCACTGCTTTCCCTAGCACTGATGATGTTGCCTAACTTGGGTATTGAAATGTCTGCAAGAAAACAAGCAAGCTCAGAGAGCACCAAGGACCCCTCACTTATTACTTTTATATTCTGCCAGTGGCTCTGGGTGGTTTAAAATTGTTTAAATATTTTAAAACAGAACAGAATAAGGGACCTTGGAGGTCTTACAGTCCAACCTCCTGCTCAGGCAATGGCTGTCCAACCACTTCTTAAAAACATAGTGTTGGAGTTTTTACAACTTCTGGAAGCAAGTTGTTCCACTGATTCATTGTTTTAACTGTGAGGAAATTTCTCCTTAGTTCTAGGTTGCTTCTCTCCTTGATTTGTTTCCACCCATTGCTTCTTGTCCTGCCCTCAAGTTCTTTGGAAAATAGCTTGTCTCCCTCTTCTTTGTGGCAGCCCCTGAGATATCGGAAGACTGCTATCATGTCTCCCTGGTCCTTCTTTTCATTAAACTAGACATACACAATTCCAGCAACCATTCTTTGTATGTTTTAGCCTCCAGTCCCCCAATCATCTTTGTTGAACGATTAAGAGTAAACCAGCGCAAGGCGAAGAGTGATAACAAAGAAAATCCAGAGGGGAACAGAAAGGAAGAAAGGGACATAATTCATCCTCTTCAGAGATCTGGATGAAGAGACAGGTCTTTAAAACACCAAGAGGATGGGAGCCATTTGAATCTTGGATGGGTGCGTGAGAAATCCTTTGTGGCAGAGATTCGAACTGGGATCTTTCAGCCCCTCCCCCCCCTACTGGAAATCTCTCCATATAGTTGGAAGAAAAATCCCAATGTCCTTTGTCGGACTTCCTTTCAAGGAGATATACACTGATATGATGCGCCATCTGTACCTGGTAAAGGTGGGTTTCAACCCCGCTTTCTCGGTGATAAGTAGCCGATTGAAAGGAGAAAAAAAAAACCTTTCTCCCATCCAGGAGAAACACGCCCATCAATTGATGACTCATAGAAACATTTTGTCTACTTGCCAAACCATTCCTTCTTCCTCGCCCAAGTTGGGTCACATGCGCGGCGGAGTTGGCTTCCGCGAATTTGCCCGGCTCCCCAGTCGAGAAGTTTGGAGCGAAAGGGGCGCAAAGAAAGCTGCTTCGCGCAGAGGAGCGCGATGGGGCAGCTTCAGTGGCGGCTCTGGCTGGTGGGGGCAGCTGCTTTCCTGCTGGGAAACGCTTCTGGTGAGTAGCTGCTAAACCACGAAGGCACGGAGTCCCGTCTAAGGGTCCCGTGCAACGCGAGCCAGGAACCTTCTCTCCCCCTACAATGGTTGAGCTGATTTTGGAAGCATTCCTTGGCAGGGCCCTCTTCCTTTTCTTCTGTAATCCCGATCGTGCAAAACCCACGAGCCTCCTTGAGAAGCAAAAGGAAAACTATCCTCCTTTCCTTAAAAATCACAGCCCGGTAAGGGTTCTTATCGTGTAATCCCACTGACCTGTTTTTCAGGTATTAGAATCAGAATCAGATAGAGCTGGAAGAGACTTGGAGGTGTTCTAGACCAGCCCCCTGCTTAAGCAGGAGATCTATACCATTTCAGACAAGTGACTGTCCAGTCTCTTCTTAAAAACCTCCAATGATGAAGCACCCACAACTTCTGAAGGCAATCTGTTCCACATGTTAATTGTCCTCACTGTTAGGAAGTTTCTCCTAAATTACAGGTTGCTTTTCTCCTTGAGTAGTTTCCATCCATTGTTTCTTGTCCTGCCTTTTAGTGCTTTGGGAAATAAATTGATTCCCCCTTCCTCTTTGGGGCAGCCTCTCTCAAATACTGAAATATTGCTATTATGTCCCCCTAGTCCTTCTTTTCTCTAGACTAGCCAAAGCCTAAATTCTAAATAGGCATACAAATTAAAGGGAAATAAATGTTCCATAATTTCCTAAATAGCTCAATTCCCCAGCAAATGTAATCCTGTCTCATTCGCTATGTAATCATGGAGTTGTACTTTCTTGGAAACTCTTTTCCTCTTTCTCCTTCTGCTACCAAAGCAAATTAGACAGGAGTGGGCAATTTTGCAGGGTCAAGGGCACATTTAATAGAAACGAGATGGATGATAAAGTTTACACAGCGAGTGAGACAGGATTACAGTTGCAGGAGGAATTGAGTTATTTAGGAAATTTACCTTTTTTCTCCCTTTAATTTGTATGCCTATTTAATATTTACAAGATAGTTTTTGTTCATGTTGCACCTCACAGTATTGGAAAGGAAGCTATCTGTCTTTTAATGAGAAGTTGCTCTGAGGGCTATAAAAAGATTTGGGGGACAGCGAGTTGCAGTTTTCTGCAATTGTAGAACTTCCAGAGAGTTTATTTGTTCATTTTAAAACGTTTCTCTACCTGTCCATCTTTCAATCAACTATTCCTTATTTAGATTCCACCTTTGATGCTTCTCCACTGATCATCTCCATGTCTTCCCTTTACTTTCTGCTGCTCTGGAATGATAGGGTGCCTTCTTACAAATAACCATCTGCCAAACTGCTGATGTTAATATTCTTTAATATTAATAAGTTAATACTGAGACCCAATCTGATCTAGGGGTTAAAGTTCCAGGCTAAAAACAATAGGACCGTGAGTTCCATTCCCTCCTTTGGCATGAAAACTGTTTGTGTGACTTTAGGATGCCACTCTTTCTCAGCCCACATCAATTCACAAGGTTGTTGTTCTGTTTGCCACTTGGAATTAGTGGCAAGTAACTTGCCACTAACTCCAAGTCATGTTTGCCACTTGGAGTTATTTTTAATAAAGTGGGAATATAAATAAATAAAGTTATTTCACATGCTGCTTTTTTTTTGGCTGGATCTGAAGGCAACAACAAGCATTTCTCTGGAAAAGCTTAGGACATAATTTTCCATTTCTCTTCAGTGAATCATTTTCTTCTGGGAAGTTGGAACAAAGATCAAGCAATTCCTGCTCCATATAACTCTGTAGCTTGTTCAGATATGTGTGTGGGATTTTTTTTGTCAAGCAGTAGGAGACTGAAGATATTTGGTACTCTGCTTTTTTCCTTTACAGATAGTCCTCAACTTATGACCATAATTGAGCCCAACATTTTTGTGAAGCATTTGTTAAGTGAAACATTTGTTAAGTGAATTTTGTTCCATTATATAACTGTTTATGCCATGGTTGTTCAGAGAATCACTGCAGTTGTTAAGTTAGTAACATGGTTGTTAAGTGAATCTGGCTTCTCTGTTGATTTTGCTCATCAGAAGGTTGTGAAAAAGTGATCACATGACCCAGGGATGTTGCAACTGTCATAAATGTGAGCCAGTTGCCAAGTATCTGAATTTTGATCACATGATCATGGGGGATGTTGCAATGGTTGTAAGTGTGAAAAATTGTCATAAGTCACTTTTCTCAGTGCTGTTGTAACTTTGGACGGTCACTAAATGAACTGTTGTAAGTTGAGGATTACCTGTATTTTATATTAGCAAAAGTTCCATTGTTTAATGCCATGCTGGAAAGCAGAGAAGAAGGATAGGGTGACATTTGATGTGAGTTTGCCAAGTTGTGGGGAGGAAGAACTCATTTCCAAGGCCCTGTGAATCTTTTTCCTTCTACCTTTTTTTTTTTTTAATTGAAAAAGTTTTAAAACAAACAAAATTTCCCCACAACCCCCCCTCCCAACCCCCCTCCCCCTCCCCGACTTCCCAGAGCAGAACACAAGGTATTTCTATTGACCTTTAACAATAAGCTAAATTGCATAACCAATCATTAAACTAACATCCCTAAAAAAAAAAATTCTTAACCCCCCATATATAAAATCCTATTTCTTAAACATAATACTTCTAATATCACTTATATAGCGCTTATACAAATAAAAGAAATCATTCATAAGCTATTTGATATTTTTTGGTCTGATACTTATTTTGTATATAATCAATCCATCTTCTCCAGTCCTGTATATACCTTTCTTGTGTGTGATCCTTCAGATATGCTGAAATTTTAGCCATTTCAGCTAAATTAGTTACTTTCAATATCCAATCATCAATAGTAGGCAAAAAGTCCTTCTTCCAGTGTTGTGCTACCAACAATCTTGCTGCTGTTATCAAGTTCAAAATCAATTTAGTCTCTGCAACTGAACAGTCTGTAGTTATACCCAGTAAGAACAACTGTGGAGTAAATTTCAGTCTCTTTTTAAGAATATTCTGCATCACCCACCAAATCTTTATCCAAAATGCTTTGATTTTTCTACAAGTCCACCATATATGATAATAAGTTGCATCATCACAGTCACATCTCCAACATTTAGCTTGCACATTAGGATACATACATGATAATTTTTTGGGATCTAAATGCCATCTATAAAACATTTTATAAAAATTTTATCTTAAATTTTGTGCTTGTGTAAATTTCACATTTCTAATCCAAATCTTTTCTCAAGTCTCCATCATTACTGGCTCTTGAAAATTTTGTGCCCATTTAATCATACAGTCTTTAACCAATTCGGTCTCAGAATCTATTTCCAATAAAGCATTATACAACCTTTTAATATGCATTTGTTTTTGATCTCTAATTTGTTTTACCAAATTCTCCTCATTTTGCACAAAGCCAGTTTTTTGATCTTCCTTCCATCTAGCTTGAAGTTGACCGTACTGGAACCATGTATAAATTATACCTTCTTCTCTCAGTGTATCTAAAGATTTCAATTACATTACCCCCCTTTCCATAATAAGAAGCTCTTTATAGGTAATCACCTCTTGTTTTTGTTCTATACTTATATTTTCTATTGCATGTCTAGGATTTGCCCATACAGGTATCTTATAATTTAACTTATATTGATATTTTTTCCAAACCCTCAACAAAGCATTTCTTAATATATGAGCCTTAAATACTTTATCCACTTTTTTGTCATATAACAAATAGGCATGCCATCCATATAACAAATCATAACCTTCTAAATTCAAAATTCTCCCCTCAGTTAAATTAAACCAATCACTAATTTGTGATAAAACCGCTGCTTCATAATATAATCTTAAATTAGGCATTTTAATCTGGGTCCTCATTTTACCTACCTCGGAAGGATGGAAGACTGAGTCAACCTTAAATAAAATAAAAGTGAAAGTCAGATTTTGGGATAGGAAGAACAATATTCATTAAATCAGTCCCATTTCTATGACAAGCTTGAGTGCGCCCCAAGGTTATAATTTCAGCAATGGCTTGGATAAATGGTAAAACATTTTGGGATGGTGTATGGGGTAAATAAAGCCATTCAATACAATATACTTTTTGCGCTTCTAAAACAGCCAATACTCCCAAAGGCAGCTTATTACTAGGGAATATTAAAAGAGCTAATTGACAATATTTATAAGGGATATGATCCACAAACTGAGTACTCAAGATGTCATTAAGTTGCTCAACTGTAGCAAGTACTGCAGGCGAAACTATAATGAGGTCTCCAGGCTGTTTTCCTTTTGTCAATAAATCAAATAACGGACTAAGTAAATGTGTAGGCAGGGAAAAATACGGGCGAACCCAATTGATGTGCCCAGCAATTGTTGCAAATTAACCAATGAAATAACTTTGGGTAAGCTCAAACAAGGAAAAGCCAGAGCAGAATAAGATTGCAACTTTTTATGTCCTAAATACAGATAAGGAGAATGCAGCTGTATTTTTTCCAGGGCAATTTGCAATCCATAGACACATAAATCATTTTGTATTTCGGAAAGCCAGTTAGATTGTATTTTTGGCGCTCCAATTAAAATGTCATCCATATAATGATATACCAAAGCTAATAGATGACGTTTGTGAAAAGGGGCTAGTGCCTCAGCAACATAAAATTGACATAATTCAACATTCCCTGTGGTAAAACCATCCAGTGATAACGTTTATTGGGTTCTGAATGGTTCACCGCAGGCACCGTAAATGCAAACTTTTCCTGATCAGAGGGGCATAAAAGAATAGAAAAGAAACAATCCTTTAAATCGATTACCATCACCTCTTGATCTTGGGGAATCAAATTAGGATTTGGCGTCCTGCACTGCAAGGGGCCCATAGGTTGAATACATGCATTCACGGCTCTGAGATCATGCAAAAAACGCAACTTGCCACTCGCCCCCCCCTTAAGATGCCATCACCCTGATGGTGAAGGCAAGGTGAGATAATACGGACCAGAGCCAAAATGAGATCATAAAGGCATGCAAGATACATAGGCATCTGAAGCGCGGCAGTGTACTACAGACAGCCTGATACCATGACCTTTAACCTCTACAGTGTTGAATAAGTTTGCTACCTTATTTCTAAAAAGAATAGAAGTGGGATATTAGTAAACAAAGAAACAAAAAGCTCCTTCGAATTGGAATAAGGGACATTGCTACCCCTCCCCCCATGCACTATTGCCATTTACAACTATATTAGAAAATGTTCAAATATGACACAGAGGATCCCCCTCTTCACCTCACCAGTATAGGGGAATATCATTACCTTAACAATGAAATCAATTGGATTGTATTTCAGCACCTAAATAAACTTGTTGTGTCCCTCACCTCAACTCTTAGTGATGTATCTGAATTCTCCAATCTCCACTGAGCTGGAGTTTGTTTAAGGCAGGAAAATTAAATAGAAGAAGAAAAATGCCATTTGACTGCATTTTGATTTGGCAAGAAAGAAAGATTGCAGCCATGGCTGATTTCAAGTGAATATGAAAGAACCAGAAACAGCTGTATCTTATTTATGAATGCTTCATTGAATTGGGTAAGCAGAGAGAAAAAAAGTCTGCCTTGCTGTATCTTTCAAGTGAATGTAAATTTCTGGCCAAACTTCAACTTTATTTAAAATGTTAAACTGATTTTTGTCTTTTAACTTCTTGAGATTAAATGTGAAGAACATGAAGCTCTTTTGCAGGGGATAGTGATAAGTGAGCAAATACAGTTACGTTGGTCTTTGGAAGTCTCCTGGCTGTCAGTCCTCTAATTTTGTTCTTGTTTCCTCTCTTGCAGACACTGCCTCCCCTTCACATTCTCTGCTCCACTTTCGCCATGCTATGCTCCTTGAGGGGCGGCCACAATTTGCTGAGGTGACCTACTTGGACAGCCAGCCTATCCAATATTATGACAGCAACAGACGAAGAATGAGACCTTTAAAGCCATGGATTAATCAAACAATGGGTAGAGAATACTGGTTATGGGAATCAGTTTGGATGAGACGCACTGTGCAATATTTCCTAAAAAAAGTGAAACACTTATCGGTTCCACAGAAATACAACCAGAGCAATGGTGAGAAGACAAAACAGCAGTATTGATTCCGCGCTCCCCCCTCATTAAATGAAAAACCCAGTGGAGATCAGAGGTGAAATTCAATTTTTTTTCCCTACCGGTTCTGTGGACGGGGCTTGGTGGGCATGGCAGGGAAGGATATTGCAAAATCCCCATTCCCACCCCACTCTGGGGCCAGCCAGAGGTGGTATTTGCCGGTTCTCTGAACTACTCAAAATTTCCGCTACCGGTTCTCCAGAACCTGTTAGAACCTGCTGGATTTTACCCCTGGTGGAGATATTTGTTGTGTGGGTAATTTATGAGCCTCAGTGGTGCAGCGGACTAAAGTGCTGTTATTTATTTATTTATTTATTTATTTATTTATTTATTTATTTATTTATTTTATTAAATTTCTATACCGCCCTTCTCCCGAAGGACTCAGGGCAGTGAACAGCCACGAGATAAAACACATAAATACAAAAATTTTAAATGAATTAAAACAAATTAAATAATTTGGCTGAATTTAAAATACCCCATAATTTAAAACAAATTAAAATTTAAAAATTTACTTTAAAAGGGGAGAAGATTTAAGCCAGGTCAGCTTGATGGAATAGGAAAGTCTTAAGCGCGCGACGGAAGGTGCGCAGATCCGGGATCCTCCGTATCTCCGGGGTGAGCTCGTTCCAGATCGTAGGTGCCCCCACAGAGAAGGCTCTCCCCCTAGAGACCGCCAGTTGACATTGTTTGGCCGACGGCACCCGGAGGAGCCCCTCTCTATGGGAGCGTACTGGCTGGTGGGAGGCTATTGGTGGTAGCAGGTGGTCCTGTAGGTAACCAGGTCCTAAGCCATGAAGCGCTTTAAAGGTGATAACCAGAACCTTGAAGCGCACTCGGAAGACCACCGGGAACCAGTGCAGCTCGCGCAGGAGAGGTGTTACATGGGAACTCCACGTTGCTCCCATAACCACCCGCGCGGCCGCACTCTGCGCCAGTTGGAGCCTCCGAGTGCTCCTCAAGGGGAGCCCCATGTAGAGAGTGTTACAATAGTCCAGACGAGAGGTGACGAGGGCGTGAGTGACTGTGTGTAGAGAGTCCCAATCTAGAAAGGGATGCAACTGGCGGATCAGGCGAACCTGATGAAAAATCCTCCTGGTCACAGCTGTCAAGTGTTCTTCTAAGGACAGCCGTGAATCCAGGAGGACGCCCAAGTTGCGAGCCCTTTCCGTGGGGGCCAATGATTCACCCCCAATAGTCAGCGATGGCACCAGCTGACTATATCGGGACGCCAGAAACTACAGCCACTCAGTCTTGGATGGGTTGAGCCTGAGCCTGTTTCTCCCCATCCAGATCCGTACGGCCTCCAGGCACCGGGACATCACTTCAAGGGCATTGTTGGGTTGGTCCGGGGTGGAGATGTACAGCTGGGTGTCGTCAGCGTTATCTGGCACTTAGCTGACAGCTGCCTGCAATTAGTGCGAGTTCAAATCTCACCAGGTTCAAGGTTGACTCAGCCTTCCATCCTTCCAAGGTAGGTAAACTGAGGACCCAGATTGTTGGGGGCAATAAGCTGACTTTGTAAAAACACCGCTTAGGAGGGGCCGAAAGCCCTAATACACAGGTATATACAAAAGAATAAAGGCTATTGCTATAATGCATTGTAAGCCGCCCTGAGTCTTCGGAGAAGGGCGGCATATAAATTGAATTAATAAATAATAAATAATAATAAATGGGTCTGGTTGGAAAAAATGGCTGATGCCAAATTGAATACATTATCTGGACCCCTTCCAGTCAAGATTTAGGTCTGGGCATGGGACTAAAATAGCATTCATCACACTTTTGGATAACTTCTGATGGGCTCATGATAAGGATAATGCATCCTTCCTGATTGTTCAGTCTGTCTTAGCCTAGACTGCATTACAGGAGTAGGTTAAGATTAAAATAGGCATGTCTTTCATACTTTCTAGAAGGAAAGGTGACCACTGCTTTTGGAAAAGGAAAGGGAAGAACTCTGTACAAACCCTAAAATAAAGTGCATATCTCTGTTACCTACATGTATTTGCTTAATACAGAATATTGTCTATGTTTAGACAAGTGGAATTTTTTAAAAAAAAATTCTGAATAATCCAACTGAAATATTTAGGTTGAAAAAGAAACAGACTTTGCTTCTTTGCTTTATATACTATAAAATTGGTATATGCATTTGCATCTTGCAAATATTTTCACTACTGCTTTATTTGAACTTACTCAACTAAATTTAATATTACCTTTGACTACTAATATCTTCTGTTAATGAACATTTATTAAGTCACAATGATGCTGAACAAGGCTTATGACCAGTTCTCAAAATTGTGGCCATCACCCACCCCACAGTCACATGATTATAATTTGGACACATAGCAACTGGCCCACATTTATAAGTGTTAAAGCATCCTGTGGTCACATGATGATCATTTGTGACCTGCACAGCTAACTTCCAATAAGCAAAGTTAATATAAAGCACTGTGAAGCAGTATACTGTATAAATCTAATTGCTACTGCTTGAGATAGCATCGAAACCTGACATTGCTATTGCATGAGTTGCTTAATGATCACAACTGGAATTATTGTCATAAATTGGGGTTATGTGAATTTCTGCTTTATGGCCATTTCACAGTGATGGAACTGAGGACTACCTGTACAAATATCTACATTGGACTTCTTTTTCTAGGTTTATTTAGATTTCCTTTCTTAAGTCATTATTTTCAGAATTACAGAATTACCCTAACCCTAACCTGGCTTAACCCCCCCCCCTTAGATATTTTTAATTGTTAATTGATTTTAGTTGGGGTGTTTTAAATTTATTGGGCCAAAATTTGTTTAAGTCTTTTTTAACAAATTTAAATTTTGTATGTGACGTTTTTATTCTTGGCTGTTCACCGCCCTGAGTCCAGTGGGAGAAGGGCAATATAAAAATCTAATAAAATAAATAAGTAAATAAATAACCCTAATCCACTACAAGAAAGGAGTCTTCATGCCTTATTGGAATAAAAACCATTCCTTCTGTATATTTTTCAAAATTGGGGAAATTATTTAAATAATGTTTAAAAATGGAATGTGATGTTGAACAGGCAAAAACAGATTATAAAAAAGGTTTCTGACCCTAACTGTAACCCTAACCTTATTTTACTCCAACCTATTCAGTCATGTATCATTAACTATATTTTTCTCCATAATATCAGAAGTTAACAAAATTAAATATTTATAACTGTCAGACCTGCCCCGACCTGGTCCTTTAGCTAAAGAAAACTCTCAACTCCATTTGTAGGAAAAGGTATACTTTTACTAAAAGCCAAGTGGATTGTAATAGAGCAAAGCCAGAACTGAAGTTTGCACTCCAAAATATCCTACTTAAAATTTTCCCATCCGGTTCCTTTCCTCCCCTATTCCCTTATTGTCCAATTATATTTGAATAAATTGTTTTGGGAACAGTCTTCAATGGAGGGGCGGGTTGGTGAGCCATTGTATTCCATTCTAAGGGTTTGACCTTGAGATGGTGTCCCTGGAAGACACAATGAATTGGTAGTCTTGCCCTCTTCCTTTTTTTTTTTTTTTGAATCAAGTTTTATTGATCCCCCCCCCCCATTTCCGCCCGCATATTTTATGAACAGAGTATTGGTCATATCATAACTTATACAATTTAACATATTCAAGTACATTTTACTCAGTTAAAATTTTAGCCAAAATTTTCTTTTTCTATTTTTTAATCATGTCTTAAAATTTCTATGCTTATTTATATAAACAACATCTTAATTTGCCCTCAAATTCTAATTTTTCTGTTTTACCTCATATTTATTCTCTTTTATTTTTTAATAACTCATTCTTTATCCTAGTACATTTATGCATGTTCAGGATTGCCTTTCTTCCATTTTATTTTTTTTATTGTACCTCTTGCCCTCTTCCATCCGGCTCCATGTACCCTGTCACCTGAACACCTTCCCTACAAACTTTCCCAGAAAGAAAACGGAAAATTGGAGACTAATAAAAAAATATCCAACATTGCTAGGTCTGGCAATAGCTTCTTGAGGAAGAGATGTACCACCATCTCTTTCAATTTGAACCCAGCTGCTGGTAACTTCTTGGGAACACTTGACCATCCAAGAAGAACAAGGATTTAACATAGAGTTAAATCTGAACTGCTAAAAATTTTTTGCTATTAGTTCTCCAGAATCCGTCAGAACCTGCTGGATTTCACTCCTGGCTCAGGGCATCTCTTTTTATGCTTCATCTCTCAAAACTCCTCAGAAAGCCAAGGAACTCATATACCATATTTTTCAGAGTATAAGATGCACCTTAGTTTTTGGGGATGAAAATAGGAAAAAAAAAATCTGCCTACCAGGTATTCATCTGGCTAGCATCCTTAGTCTGGTCAGCTTCAACACATGTTCGCTGGTTTTGAGCATGCGCACACACTTTTTATCCCCTTGTTGGGCATAAAAAACAGCTTCTAAAGCACAGCTGATTGCAGAAGATCGCTTCGCACCTCATTAGGCCTGAAAAAAAGCTTAGAAAAAGCTACATTCGGAGTATAAGATGCACCCAAATTTTCAGCCTCTTTTAGGGGGGAAAAAGGTGTCTTATACTCCGAAAAATACGGTCATTCTATTAGGACACTGCCACTCTCTCATTCTTCACATGAACTACCAATCAGAGACTCATGAAAGTCCCCAAAAGCCCTCTGTATACCAAGTAGATTTATGCAGTGTAATGTGATGTATATTAATACAAACATAGAAATAAAGAAATACAGACTGAATATCCATATAGATTGTATTGCTATTTTCCAGATTTACAAAAAGTGTAGAGAATTGTCTGGCCACAGACACAGTTAGTTCTTTATAGTTCATTATAGTATAATTTATAATCTTCTTTTTAAAACAAATCCCATGCAGGTAGTCCTCAAATTACAACAGTTCATTTATTGACCATTCAAAGTTACAACAGCACTGAAGTGACTTATGACCATCTTTCACACTTACGACCGT